CTGACCCGCCCGCTGCTCCCCTCAGCAGTGTACTTTGTCGATCTGCCTGTTCTGCTCCCCGCTCTGTCTCTGGTGAGTCCTCTCACTGCCCCTGCACCTCTAGTTTGTACCCAGCTCTGTAGGCACAAATAAATAAATCTGTAAAAAAATATATGAAGTAGAGACTGAAGTAGAGAGCTGGGAGGTGGTGTCGCCGAGGGAGGTGTGGGAAGGAGTCTTTGAGTCAGCCAGCTCTGCCTCCGGTCCTGTGGTTCTGCCCAGGCTATGTATGAAGCAGCAGGCCCAGGCACCTGGTCTGGGGTGGGGGTGGGGGTGGGGGCTGCAGGTTGGCTTCTGCTCCCTGCCACAGCCCCCCCACGCCCCCAGGGAAGAACCAAACGAATTCTCTGCAGAGACAATGAGGGCTTTGAAAGCCTGGGGAAGGAGCAAGAGACAGAGACAGCAGAGCTGGCAGCCGGGACTCAGGTGAGGCGAGTAAGGCGTGCCTAGGCTTGGCAACGCTCTGCCCATCCTCACCGGGTCTTCTCTAGCCACATTCTCTGTCTCTGAATGGAGTAATAACAAGCCCCATTGCTGAGGGCAGCCTGGGGTTTGCAGTCCTGGCTGGGCACATAGACAGCCCTTGATAGATGCGAACCGCGGTGATCATTACTCCTCTGCCATTTCGATCATTAGCGGGTCAGAGGGCGGAACAGCAGAGCTGGGGAGGGCAGACAGGGGCTGTGCCTGTTTGGTAGGAAGTTTTGCTGTTTCAAGTTGGGGGGCGGGTGTTCAGGGTGGAGGGAGAGACTGACTGTGAGACATTGAGAAAGGCGGGTGGAAACCAGCCCCTCCTAGCAGAGGGATGATGGAACCCAGATATGACCCGGTGCCAAGGGGGCGGGCCCAGGGATCCCGGGAGTGGAGACGCAGCTCTTGCACAGCAGGGATGGGAGATGTGGGGAGCACTCGAGATCTGCACCCAAAGTGGGCTAGGGGTGGGGAGCAGGCAGGCAGCTGACCTAGGTGCCCCAAGCTGAACCCTCCTCCCTGCATTAACTCCCCCCCCCCAACCAAGCCTCACCTGCTGGGAGCAGCCAGAGCCTGGGTGGGGTGAGCTGGTCTCTGGGCTCTCAGAAGGCTGCAGGATGGTAAACAGGATGCCTGGGTCAGCTGCTCCCTCCCTAGGTCTCTCCCTCCCACTCATTCCCTGGGGGAGGCTGGCTGGCCCACTGCCTGAATTCGAACTGCAACGCCCTGATGACCACTCTCGGGGTGGTGGCCTCTTCTTCCTCAAAGCCTGGGGTCCTTCTCACAGTTCCCAGGCTCTCTCCTGGGTTGCCAGGGTTAGAAGAGGGGAGGACACTCACCTTTAGGGAGCTCTGTGTGCAGGGTGGGGTGGGAGGTGGAGAAAAGAGACACTGGCCTTGAGAGAAAAGTCAAGAAAGGGCACCTGTGTCTCATCCGGGTCCCTCCCAGCCCCCCAGGCTGATGGAGGTCCTGTTTCTTGGGTTCTGCAACCCCTCTCTCTGAGGCCCCGCCACCCCAGAACTTCTGGGAGATATGGGGAGCCTATCTCCTCAGATGTCCCCCCTCCACCCTGTGGCCCAAATTCCTGGGGTTAGGAAATCAGAACTGAACCCTTGTGCAGCAGTCTCGGCCCGTTTCTCCCTCCCTCCCTGAAGCACCGGCTCCCTCTCTGTTTCAACACAAATTCTCAAACTCACAATTACAGCTCATTACCCTATCGTGGCTGGCTTTGAGTCACTGGGGGAGGGACCCTGGGCTGCCCAGCCCTGCCACTGTCTCTCAAGGTGCAGTATAAGGCGTAGTGGCAGGGAGGAGGGAGGCTCTGGGGAGGCAGGAGAGTCTGGGGAAGGAGAGAAGGCTGCAGACCAGAGGGAAGCGAGAGCCAGAGGGAGGAGGGCGAAGGGAGCGCAGGAGGACACAGACTGGGGGAAGGACAAAGACTTGGTGGGGAGAAGACACTCAGGAGAGAAAGAGGCGCAGACAGAGATGAAGCTCCAGGGGTCCCTGGCCTGCCTCCTGCTGGCCCTGTGCCTGGGCAGCGGGAAGGCTGGCCCACTTCTGAATGGAGTGGGGAGAGCCGGAGCAGGTGTTGGGGAGGCCACTGGACAGGGGGCCGAAGGGGCAGCCAATTCTGGAATCGGGGTCCCCGGGGGGCCCGTGGGGCCCGGGGTCGGGGAGACCATCTACCGTGGGGTGGAGGAAGCAGCCCGTGCGATCGGAAACACTGGGAATGGGGCCGGCAGACAGGCTGAGAACATCATTCGACAAGGGATGGACGCTGTCCACGGCTCCTGGCAGGGGCGGCCTGGCACCGCTGGTGGCTGGGTGAGTGGCTGGGACGTGGGTGTGGAGCTGCCGCTGCTGGGCTGAGTCCTGGCCTCGGCTGGAGGGATGAAGGGCTGTTCCCTGGGGCCGCCTGGGGCTGCTCCTCCTGGCCGTGCTTCGCCCTCCACCACCCTGGGGTCTCGCTCCCCGCCTCTTGCTGCACCCCGCCTCTTGCTGTACCCACCTCTCATGCCCCTCTCGGTTGCTTGCCTGCCCACCGTGGTCACACACTAAGGGGGGGCATGTCCTTGCAGGGGACATCCGGAGGCCACGGCTTTCAGGGTGGCCTCAACGGTGGCGGAGGCTACAACCAGGGCAATCCTGGAGGGCCAGGGACCCCCTGGGCCCAGGGCCACTTTGCAGGCTCGGATGGCAGCTACGGAGCCAGCTCTCAGGGAGGACCCTGGGGCCAAGGAGGCAATGAAGGATCGTACAACTTGGGGATGAACGCGCAGGTACCGTGGCCACCAGCCCTGAGAGCCGCCTCCTTGCTCCATCCAAGCCCGGCTGCACACCTGTGGCCCTTCCTGATCCCACTCTCTGTCCACCTCCCTGCAGGGAGCTGTAGCCCAACCTGGCTATGGGTCAATAAGAGGCAACAATCCAGAGGTAAGAGGATGAGCCGGGCAGGGAGATGCCCAGAGGGAAGGGGAGGCCGCCCAGACCGGGGAGATGGCCACGGGAGGTCGGGGGAGATGGCCACGGGAGGTCAGGAGATGGCCACGGGAGGTCGGGAGACGTCCACGGGAGGTCGGGAGATGGCCCTGGGAGGTCGGGAGATGGCCACGGGAGGTCAGGAGATGGCCACAGGAGGTCCGGGAGACGGCCACAGGAGGTCCAGGAGATGGCCACGGGAGGTCGGCAGGCCTGGGGGGGACAAGACTGGCTGGGGCTGGGGAGGAAGCCACAGCCTGGACGCAGCTGAGCTGGCCCTGGCTCCCTGTCCCCTTCCCCTGCAGTGCACCAACCCCCCGCCATCCGGCTCCGGTGGAAACTCTGGCAACTACTGGGTAAGGGGCTGGGCAGCCTGGCGCCCTCTGCACAGGGCGGGTGCAGAGAATCTTCTTAAACGGGCCGGGATTTGATGGAGCAAGACCGGGAGGGCCCCGGGAGGGTGGGGAGCACTCCTGGCGCTCTAATCCTTAATCCTTGCTCTGGTGTCTTCCTGCCCCTCAGGGAAGCAGGGAAAATGGCGGCGGCAGCGACAGTGGAGGCAGCAGCGGAGGCGGCAGCGGAGGCAGCAGCGGAGGCAGCCCCGGCAGTGGTGGCCATGGCGGCAATGGCGGCCAAGGCCATGGCGGCGGCAGTGACAGCGGCAACAGCGGCGGCAGCAACAGTGGCGGCCACAACAATGGCGGCAGTTCCGGGTCCAGCTGGGTAAGTTCTGATCCTCCCACAAAGGCAGAGACAGGGCGGGGGTGCCTGGGGTTCCCGGGGAGCACACCCGAGGCTGCCCCAAGCTGCCAGCCCCGGGCGGGGTTGGCATCACCAGCAGCTGTCATCCTGGGGCCCCTTCAGCTCCCGTCCCCCTCTTCCCAGCCTCAGCCCAGCGGGCACACCCCCCCCCCCGATTTTTCCAGAAGAAGTCTGCTTCTCCTCCCTCTACACCCTTTTCTTCCGCCGCCACGGTGGGGGTGCCCTTTCTAGTGGGGGTGCCCTTTCTAGTGGGCATGCCCTTTCTAACCGTCCTGCAGACGGTCGGTCAGCTCGGCCAGTCTGCTTAGAGCTGGGGTTGGCAGATGGAAGAAGAGGGGTGGTACAGGAAAGCAGGGCGCTTTGGGGAAGCTCTGGGAAGAACCAGGGCGCAGCAGCACGCCGCAGGCTTCAGACTATTACAGGCTGTGGTGCAGATGGCAAAGATATCCGAGGACCCCCGAGCATGGGCAAGGGGCGAGGGGGCCGGACCTGGCAGCAGGATGAGAGGGCGCCCCAAGCAAGGGCCTGCAGGGGGCACACTTGGCTGGGGGGGGGGCGAGGGGCAGCAGCCAGATGCTGGACCCAGCCAGGTGATCTCGGTTATTTCATTTACTGCTCCTGGTGCCACGGGCGCCCGCTCCCCCGCCTAGGACCGACCCCTAGACAATTCTAGGAATTTTGATCAAGGCAGCTATGGAGACTCCCAGGTAAGGATTCTAGGGTTCCCTTCCCCTTCTTAGTTTCCAGGAGAAGGCGAGGGGAGAGTTGAGGCAGGAGAGGGCAGAAAGAGCCCTCACCTGCCCCAGGTGCCAAGGTCAAGGAGCGGTGGGGGCTCCAGGGGCTGCCACCCCCCTGCACCCGGTGGAGGGTGGGGCGCAACAGCTCAGAATGCCTGGACCACCTCACATTTCCAAATACCTTTGGCCACACCCAGCTTCTCTGTGCTCAGAATAACTTCCCTCAGCGGCCACAGTACGGGCCAAAGAAATGGTGACTCCGTTGGGATAGATTGAGACCTCAAATTTTGCTTTCCTTCACAGGGCTCCAACTCCGGCTCTTCCTCGGGGGGCAGAGGTGGAAATGGAGGTGGAAACATACCTGGGGTAAGCACTGGGGGTGGGGCAGCACCTGCTCCGATTCCTCTCCAACTGGGGGAGAAAGGTGACTTGAGGCCCCTCAGATTCTGGGAGAGCAGCAGTTGGGGCTGAGAATGGGCGTGGACCGCGGCTAAGGTGGAGACATGTGGGCCTGCGGGTCCCAGACTCTGGGGACTGGCCCGGTGTCTGGGAGGAGGCTGAGACTTCTCTCTCTCACAGTGTGAAAACTCAGGGAACGAGGTGCGCGTGTCCGCAGGATCTGGGGGCCAGGTGAGAGCCGCACCCACCCTCCCCCCCCCATTCCCAATACTCGCCCCATACACAGGGCATTTACACTTGAGGGGGATGAAACCCCAGGACCTCCCTCGGCAGGAAATGCTGCCTCCTAAGTAATAGTTAATTGCAAATTAATTAATAGTTAATTGCAAATCCTGACACATAAACCTGGCTTTATATCACAGATGTGAAAAATCACATGAAAACCAGTCCTTTAAGAAACATGGTTTCAAAGGTTCCATATCTGGCCTTTCAACAGGGTCCAGTGACCTCTTTTTTTTTTTTTTTAAAGATTTATTTTTATTTATGCATATAAGACCTATGTGTAGGCCAGAGGTGCAGGGGGTGAGAGGGTTCACCAGCGACAGAGTGGGGAGCAGAACAGGTGGATCTACTGAAACACACTGCTGTGGGGAGCAGTGGGGAGACAAGAGCCGTCTGCTGCACCATGTGTGTCAGCTCCCTGGCCGGAGATCGAACTCAGGCCACAGTGGCTGATGCCGGCTTGATAGTGCTGAGATTTTAACCCCTGTGCCACCAGGGAGGTGGCCCTAGACCTCTTTGCCAGAGTTTTGAAAGAGGGTTTGGAAAGTCTACATGTCCTCCTAGTTCTTCTGGAAATGTCAGCATCCACAGCGCTGACAGAGGAAATGTTATGCTAACGTGCACACGAATCACCTAGAGGTCTTGTGAAAATGCAGGTTCTGATTCAGCAGACCTGGGTGGGGCCGAGATTCTGGTTTCTAATAAGCCGGGTGAGGCTGGCTGACGCCCTGGCCTGAGTGTGGCCTGCATGGTGCAGGGCCAGGCCTGATGGGGAGGCAGGCTGGTGGGTGGGTGGGGTGCCACGCAAGAAGGCTCTCTGCAGAGCCCCTCACAGCTCAGGCTACTAGTTTTGTATGGGTCTGTTGCTTTTAAGAGAATTTCTCATTGTGAAAGAATATGAATGTTTAAAAACACAAAAAAAGACAACTTTATCACACTGAAAAAAATAAAAGAAAGGGACCCTCCCTGGTGGTGCAATGGGTTAAGGGCACAGTGCTGCCAAGCTGGCCACAGCCACTTCAGTGCAAGGTCAGTCCCCAGCCAGGGAGCTGACCCACACGGTGCGGCAGACCTCTCCTGTCTCCCCAACTGCTCCCCTCAGCAATGTACTCCCTCAGTCTGCCTGCTCTGCTCCCCACTCTGTCTCTGGTGAATCCTCTCACCCTCTGCACCTCTGGCCTGTACCCCAGTTCTCTATGCATAAATAATAAAATAAGCCTTTTTAAAAAGAAAGAAAAGATAATTTCTCCCAGTTTGTAGCTCTCTAGTTTTTATACACATGGAGTCTTAAATATGTGATCAAAGAAATCAGTCTTTTACTCTGCGATTTCTGCCCTGGAAATACAAAGGTCTTTCTTTTCTTTCAGCGCTGCTACTACTTCTATAATTTCATTTATTCAATTTAACTCTTTAGCCCATAGGATTTTTTTTTTTTGACTATATTTTCTAGCCCCAATCTTTGAGACCGTAGACTTACCCACACCTTGGATTAGAGGCAGGTGACCCCTTATGGGGGAAAACCAGAGATAAACAGAAGAGTAAAAGATCTAACTAAATCCACACCCTCCCCCCAATACTTATAGCCTGTGTATTGACTCATTTCCACTACTGCTTTAAAATGTCCCTTATCAATGTCTTAATATTTTGAGAGATTCTAGGGGTTCCCTTTTGTTTAAGTGATCTATTCTGGGACTGGTGCCATGCTGTTTTATTTATAATAGCTTCACAGTTTATTCACATTTGCCAGTACAAGTACTCCCTGACTGCTACTCTTTTGCAGTGCTTTCTCACTTATTATTAGCCATTTATTCTTCCAAATGAACTTCAAGATGATTTTGATGAGTTGAAAGGAGTATTCCATTAGAATTGTTAGAGGAATAGTATCAAATGTTTACACACATTTTAGGGATGAGCCTAAACAAATGATCTATATTTTACTGTCTTATTCCTCAGGGATTCAATCCTCAGGGCTTCAGAGGAGGACAGGGTGGCCCCAGTGGCTCTGGCGACATCAGGGTAAGGAGATCACAGACCTGAAGTGGAGGCTGTGTCTGCACTGGGATGAGGTTGGCAGCAGCAGTACTAACCCAGCAATTCCTGCCTGGTCTGTGTATCAGCTCTGGGGAGCAGGAGGTGTGATGGTCAGTGATTCACACTAAATAATGAAAGTGGGATTAAGAGGATCTACTTCTAATTTAGGGAATTCATGCTGTGCCTTCTCAGCTCCCACA